TCTTCGCACTCCATATATAGACTAACATATTTAAGTGCGCTGTTGCCCTCAACCACACTTGGAGTGGGGGTCGTCCGTAGGTGGATTTTTGATACGGATCTTGCCCGTGTTGAGATTGCGCTGGAACCCCCATTCCCTATACTACTAATAGCTCATTCGAAAAAACTCCTAAAAATCTAGGTTATATCAACATTTTAGAAAAAGTTTATATTTCTAACACATGAAAAAATAGAATTTTGTAGGGATTTTTGTTCGACTTTATGAGAGTTTTTGAGAGCACCGAAACTACAAAATATGACAAATCAATGTATCTCTGTCTTTTTGTCGAAAATATCCATGTATTATTGTAGAATGATTGAAAAGCCTTCATTCGTGCAATCATATAGTCTGCAAATAACTATTATCTTATGAATCTTAATTTTTTCTAATCACTTCCGGTGGCGCAAGTTTTGCTCCAAAAGCTCGCGTGTAGGCTTCCATTAAATGCTGATTATCTCGAAAACAAGCTCGGGACACCCAATTTTTCATTCCAGATTTTGGAATCAGCATTAAATCTCAATTCGGAAAATCGAAGTTTTAAAAGAAGATTAAATTTTTTTCCAAAAGTAAACTGTCACCTTAAAACGGTTTCTTTTACATTGTTTCGTCTTTCGTATCCATTCACCCATCCAAGTATCCTTCATTCACAACTGATTCATTTACTTCAAGTCAAACTTGACCAATCAGAAAGCAACGAAAAACTTAGTTATCAGCAATCCTAGAAAACAACGATTGTGATTGGCTGAGGTCMATACGCCAATACTGATTTTTGCTCTTTCCTGATTGGTTAGTGTGTTCGCACAGTAAAAGTTTACGCGGGAACTGAAGTTTAAAMATGATTTTTCAAAAATGAATTTTGTGTAAAGCCGCACTTTAAAAAGACGTTAGTAAATACACTGTGCTTTTAGAATTTGGTCGAATTTTTTTTCAATTTATAGTCATGCGTAACCARGAAGGACAAATTTGTCTTCTTCGTTGCTTAGTTATCAGTTAAAGGCAAATCCTAGATTCACAACTGCTATGAAASTCAGAGTGGCTCGAAAGACAATGGAGATAAAGCCTTGTTAAAAAACATAGCAATTACTGGCAGAACTATACCGTATGACAAATGCATTAAGATGTTAGAAAAAAAGTAATACTTTTGATCGAGGCTTTCGCGTGACGATCACATATTGAAGTAATATATAATATATGTACTTAAGTAGTACAGTAATCTAAACGACGGATCTTATCATTTCAAGTGATGAAATATTTATTTGTAAGTGAATTTTCCATCCAAAATCATCATTCGTGTCCGAACGTACCTGGGTTCTGGTACTTTATACATTCCCCGGAARCTTGTGAAATGGTCTTYGTAATCTCCAGGGACCCTAAMACCTATTTTGAATTGATTTTGGAACTAATTATGTRAAAATAAKTTTTTGTTCATTCMTTTTTACAAAGTCGTATATTTGTCAATTKTGAAACAAAACCGACCAGGTCTGGCAATAAAAACTTTTGCATGTTTCGAAAAACGCTCAATTTTACCTCAAAATTTGCATAGAATTACGAAATCTTTTGTCAGATTATAGAAAGGTAGTCAAAGTATAAGATATTAATTGGAGAAATTTTCAAAACAACGCTAATAAACGGTACTGAAAAACGAGATGCAAAGGTACGGAACTACCTTTCGTCAAAGAAAGATAGCGAACCTTTTACAAGATTTAATTTTCTATCGCTGTATCTTTTTTCAAGTGACTATGAAGAGGAATATCAAGTACAATTGGTAGTGATGAAAATTTCAGTTGTCATCGTTTTGAACAGTCATGAAAACCGGCTTCCATAGTGAAATATACTGACAAAAGGAAAGAGAAACCTGACCTTATTCTTGGAATTTATATYAAAATAATCTAAGTACTATATATTTGTAGGAAATTTCTGGTAATCTAGTTTTTGACACTTTTATTTATTGTTAACGAAAAGGATTAACATAACATTCTTAGCGACAAACTTTTGACAGACTTTGATACGTTTTGTTTTATCTAGCTTTTGTAAGTACTTATAGAACCTTATTCCGWTATACCAGCTAGCTCAAGGAAATGAGTATTGTAGCCATCAAAAAGCACTTAAACTCCAACTCCTTTATTGGAAAAAAATTAATTCTGAAAACGGTAGGAAATGGCCATTATTGGAGGCTAATTCTGACTTTGTAAGCTCAGTGTGATTTTAGTCAAAACAGTTTAAAGAAAATCCAAATATTTATCATATTTGTCATTAAGCACCAGTTGAATGAGAAGTGTTACGCGCACTAGAGCTCTAGTATACACCCGTTACGCTTTGTTTGCTATATTACCTTATTGAATCTAATCAKATTTGCTTAGCGCTAAGTCATCTTAGAAATGCATGCGGGGACACCGGCTGCATGGTTATGGGTTACCTGCTGCAAGTCTAGGTCTCTAAGAATCATTCAATAAGAGTAATGATTGCGTGATACTACATATAATCTTTTCTACTATTCTAAGTCAAATCCATGATCAATGCTGCGTTCTGATTGTATGAGCTACTACTAGGCTATAAAATATATCCTACTAGTAGCGAAAAGTGACCGCTTTGAAAACCAAAACATTAAATTTAACTTCAATTTAAAACTTGTTTGCATCTATATATTTGACGGACTAGTTGGATTTGACTAAAACAATTAGTCCTCTCGCCCTCATGGCCTATGAGTCATTGGCCCATTCGTGCTTGAGAACTAATTGCTAATTATCCTGCGAGCAGAGGTTGTTTTTCTTCCCCTCCGTAGAACTGAGCGGCAGGCTGTTTTCTTCCCCCGCTTACCTGAAGCCAGAATCTGGAGGACGGAGGGCAGAAAACTGCGCCTCTGTAAACAGGGTTATCTTTTCTTATGTACTTAGTAAGTCATACAATCAAAGTTACAATTGTTTATTTTTGAGCTAACTGGGACTAGCAGGAAGACTGATTATAGGTAGCCCCTTTCACACTCTTACTGCGCTGTTTGTACATCTTTTCATCTCTTATATTTTCCCGTCATTTTCGGAGGTTCATTCGAGGGAGGGCACATATTGACATACGGGATTCCTCGAAATCCTGTACCGAATTACCGGGGAGAGGTGGGAGAAAAACGAACTGCGGTGTAATCGCAGGGGGATTTCGCAGTCAAGATTTCGAGCGAATATCAGCAAGGCTCCGTAATCTACGGGATTTCTTGATATCATATGCTGACTGGGAAAGGTGGGAGAAAGATGAGTTGATGAGTGTAATGGCTCATCCCTTGATACAATTGATACGAGAGTCATCAGTGTTTTTTCTTATTCAAATGATTTAACGCCTTTGAGAGCCGCAAGTTGGCGTTAATTACGTCAAAAAAGAATAGATAAAAGTGATATTGAGACACGATGGTAAAAGTAATGGGGAATTTCACTACTTCTCGGAACAAATTCAGGAATTGCTTTGGTATTTTCTGGTCACATCACTTCAGATCAAAGTGTTGTTAAGGCAATTCAATCAAGCTCATAATTACTGAGTGACGTTTCTTCATCAACGTCTCTCTCACTCTGAACGGATTTTAAAAAAGTGGTTTTACTTAACCCACGTGAAATAGGTCCGAAGTCCATACGCCGATAAAAGAAATAAAAACCTTGCTTGCTGTGCTGTGTGCAGTTATAAAGCACTCGCGGATTAGCAGAACACTCGAAAAGTGTCAAGAACCACGCGTTTCACTACGTGTCATGCTTCTCTCAATACTTCTCTCGTGTTCTGACAACCCTCGCGTGCTCTATGACTGCACACAGCACGCGYGTGCGTAGTGTCATGGATCCGTGTCTATTTCTTCACTAAAATACCCATTACTCTAGCGCTTCTTGATTTTCCTTCAAAATATTTCTGGTTCTCCTGGTGATTTTGAAAGTTTAAAAACTCATTTTATCGGAACTGGAKGTGGCCTTTCTTTTCAATAAGGATACCTGGCTTATAATATCAAGATTTCAAACTTTCTTTACTCCTGGTAGAACACAAAGCATTTCAAACAGCAGGTTGGCGCCATGTAGTGCTGTGATACCGTGAGGATCGTAGGGTGGGGAGACCTACGAAACAAATCACAAAGACAGGACACGTTTAACCATTTGAAGGGAATGAGGTTTGGAGACGAAGGCAAAGGGGAGGTTTGAGCGACTGCAAGGACTAGAGGGTATCATTGGTTTATACAAAAAAAAAAATCTTAACATTTTATTGATACCGGGGTAACCTGAAACAATCAGAATCGAAATGGAATTTGGTTTGTTAGGCTTTGAAGAGGGAGGAAATAGACGAACCCCTAGGAAAATCCTCGAATAATGGTAACAAACTCTACTTGCATGTGATGTCGAGTCCACAAAGGTGAGAGGCGATTCCCTTGAAACTATGCAGGTTCAATACTTAGGCATTTTAAGTTAACAGAGGAGACACTGGAAGACACTTGATTGAACTCAAGCAAACCTTTGGACCCGAGGGAAGACTTGTGAGGGAGTCGCGCAGGCCCTAAACCGAACTCTGTGCAGAACTCTTAGCACCTCGTCTAACTACCTCTAACGGTCGTGATCATGATCATGATCATCTACTGCGTATAAAAAAGCTTACGAACGAAAGAATATAAGATATATAATATGTACCTCGACAAGATCACCTCCAACAACCTGTAATCCCTGGCAGCCACGAATAATTTCCAGTCCTTGGATGCTCGTTAAGCCGCCAATCTCAGGAGTTCCTAGCAAAGAAAAAAAAAAAGAAAAAAAAAAAGACTTGAGAGTCGAAAATATATTCGAATTTGAAAAGTATGAGATTATGAGAGATTGGGACATCCTTTACACTTACTATAACGGTCCTAGAGTTGTTCTAGAGATATTTAAGAGCAAAATAATCAAAAAGAGAAATCTTGGGGTTTTTTAAAAAAATTGCGGCAGTCGGAGGGGCATTTTCAAAATTGAACACATTTGTCCAGAGATGAGGAACCATTATTTACTGCTKTGAATAGACACATTAGAGTCATCCCGGCGAGTTACGAAGTCTCAACCACGGCCCTGTTGTGCGAAGGGTGGATAGCGTTATCCGACGGATAAATCCTTATCTTATAATCCTTTTGGATAACAGCATCGACTTATAAGGATCAAAAGATAGGGATAAGGATTTGTCCGTCGAATAGCGCTATCGACCCTTTGTACAACCGGGCTCAGGTGTACGATTTTCCCGCCAAAACACGCGCGCGCACGTTTCATCTTTAGAGTTTTCCGCCACATCCACAGGATTCCCGCACGGCATGAATGAATTAAATTTTGRCGCCAAGCTAAAGATGCGATGTGAAAAATAGTAACTCGTAGTCATATTCAAAGAAAAACTATGTAATAAATAAGAAATCATAATTATAATATAGGGAGGTTCAAGGTTTTTTAGTCAAAACCTTGTCCCCTCGCTACGATCCTGTGTCATTCTTTTCAATATCCTTTTGACAAAGTGAGTGAGTTAATAACGACACCAACTGACCTGTTCCCGGTGCAAAGGCAGGGTCAAGACCATCGATATCAAAAGAGATATACACGGGACCATCTCCCATCTGATCGCGCACTTCGGCCATCAGTGGTTCAAGTGACTTGTGCCAGCAKTCGTTCGCCGGGACGATTCTGAATCCCTAGAAAATATAAAGCATTGAATAGACCTTCTAGTTTAGCTTCGTTGTATTTAAAGCGGGTATTTAAAGCTAATCAAAGCTACACAGAACAGAGAGAAGTCGAAACAGACGTGGAGTTCCTGAGGATCGAACTTTGGACCTCTAGCTCTGAAGGCCGCGCACTAACCAACTGAGCTACGCCTACTCCTGACCATGTGATGTTACTCTTGGTAGTTGATTCTTTCATGTGTAAATATTTTAACATGTTCGTTATAAAAGAACAATTTTCAAGGTAATGTCATGTGATCTGAATTGGTTCAACGTTTCTTTGTGCCATTTCTTAGCTAGAGGCTCTAGTTAAGGAATGGCACGTGATCTGAAATAGGGAAGCAGTACACCCAAGATTAAGAGGTCGATCCTCTCGTATTGTTAGTACCATTTTATGTGTTATTACTTGTTAGATCATCAAAACCTGCAAGGATTTCCGGTTTGTAATTGGATTTGTGCTCGTGGTTTGCCATCAGTTTTTTTGTGTGTCTGTCTTCTTATTTGCGATAAATTGCGTCACTCAGATTGTCAAAGTAGTAAGGATCCACGAGGCGTAGCTGACACCATAAACTATTCAGACACCAGCTTATTTATCAGTCCTTTTATTGACGATATAAAAATAGGCAATCAGCGCACGAAAAATGTGTATGTTATTGTAAAAAATGTCAATTGACATCGTTGTTAATGAACCCCGCATTTTTCTCATTCTTTTTGCACTATAAATGTATTCATGTTCCTGCAACCTCCATATAGAGCTGTAAACATGCTTGAGTATCTAAACCAACCAATCACAAAAGCAGTATATCTAAGCCAACCAATCAGAAAGCAGATGTACCTTGTCTATGGGATATTTATACAAATCACCATCGTACCATGGACCTCGTATTCCTATCTGGACAACACGTTTGCAGTCTAATAGACCTTCCTCAACTGCGCGATAAAATGGGCTGCCATGRAAGATTTCTTCGCCATACGCACTAGGACTGGTGTCAGAATGAGCATCCACATGTACAAGGCCAATTGGACCATACTTCTCCTAATAAGTCCAAGAATGTTATAGAAAACTATTAGAGATAATCAATAGCATTGTGACAAAAGATTAAAAAAGGTAGACAGTGAAAGAGCACTCTCCACCACCCTCCCCTCCCCTCTCAAATTAGGTAGACTTTGATTGATTGATTGATTGATTGATTTGCACAAGAATTAATAAGTTTACATTATGATTTACGAAAAATCACTCTTAAAAATTACAGGTCAAAGCCTACTTTTGCATTCCTTCACATTACTGTAAGTGCTGTGGTGGTTGGTTTAGCCCTGGACTTGCCATCATGTAAGTAGAGTAACTTTCTCCTGTGCTGCAAGAGTTTTTCTCTGGGTTCTCTGGTTTTCCCTTCTCAGCAAAAATCAACTTCTAATATAGTGTTTTCCACAGAAGAAGTTACAATTGTGCATCAAATTCAATGGGATCGAAATGCAAACAAGCAAAGCCAAGTGCATATAGTTCTTAATTTGTGGAAAAACTATGGTTTTACAACTGATATTTATCTTTTTTTCCTTGTAATCCAAGCCTTTGTTTACAAAGTTTGTCCACAAATCGATCCCACGATTCTTTGCGATTTGATCAYGGAAGGAGGACCACAGGTTTCTTTGCAACATGCTATTAGGTGTTACCCTTGRAAAAATGAGGATGGATGGTTTATCGAAAGGAGGGCTTTAGCCACCCCACAGGGACAGATCCTGCATAAATATTAGGGGGGCTTGACCGAATTTTGCTTGACTTGTAAGTAATGGCTCATTTTACTGTAAATCCATTATTTTGATCAAATAAAATTATATATGGCTGAAGGTGGGGGGCTACAGCCCCCCCTTTGCCTTGCCCTGGATCTGCCCCTGTCCCCCTTTCTCATAATATCTACTCAAATTAWGTATGCCAACTTGTTACCTTCATTGCTTGTAGGATAGGATAACTAATGGTATGATCACCACCCAAGATTAACGGTTTACATCCATTGGATATTATTTCAGCAACTTTATCTTTTATCAGTTTCACAGTTGATTTGATGCTGTAGGTGTTAACTGAGATATCACCAATATCTGCAACCATTAAAGATTCAAATGGGGCTGCTCCAGTCGCTGGATTATATGGACGAAGGAKTGAAGACTCAATTCTTATTTGACGTGGTCCAAACCTAACAACCAAAGGACAAATCAAKTTATGTACAAATTATGGTAAAACATGTAGTGGCTTTGCACCATCAGGTGATGGCAGCCATGACAGGAGGCAAGAACAATTAAATCTGGTTTCATCTAATTTGAAAGAATGAAACTAAAAAAGCCTTTTGGAGAATAAAAATTAAGACTACTTTAGAACAACTCAGATTGGGGATAATTTGGATGAAACAAGATAAACTTTCTCTAAGATGGTATGAATATGGAAAAATAATAACCCAAAGAATATATGATATTGAGAGGCAAATTTTATGAAGTAACCTCCACAATGATGAAAGGAAAGACGACAGACATAAAAATAAACTCARAGTCTTTCGTCAGTTCAAAACAGATTATAATTTTGAAGAATATTTAAGTCAAGTCACCAATATTAAGCACAGAGTGGCGCTTACAAAATTAAGAATTAGCAACCATAAGCTTGAAGTAGAAACGGGGAGGTATAAGAGGCCTTATCTCATTTACGATGAAAGGATTTGCCCAGTGTGTAAGTCGGGAGTAGAAAACGAAAAACACTTTCTAGTTTGGTGTCCACTATATGACTCTCATAGAAATGACTTAAGAGAGTTCATAGAAAAAAACACCAGCATTAATTTCAACAATATGAGCGCTGACAGTCGTTTTHTGTTCTTAATCAATTCAAAATCAGTGGCTCTACAAAAAGTTATATCAGCATACATTCATCAATGTATGCTGATACGTGAAAACGAAATAAGAAAAATACCTAATACATAGTTTATATATATACCTGAGGGGGAGGGGGGTTGATAAGAGTAAGTGGAAATCCATTTATCGAAAGGAATGCCAATGTCAATAAAAGTGTAGTAAATAATGAAGGGAGTATCAACAGTTTGGGCATGGATTGCAGTGTCTATGACTATATTATGTATCATGCTTATCGTTTTTTCACAGGTTAAGTAAAACCATTCTAGAGTGATTTTACTTCATGACCCGAGAAACGAAGTTGTATAATAGACCCTTTGCATGTGATGCCAAAGGAGATCAATTTGAAGAACAAAACAATATAATTTTAATCTCCTGAGAATATTGGAACCAAGGGGATTAGTGAGCCAAAGTAAAACAGAATTGAATTAGTGTGTATCAAATTGAGCTAATCCTTGCAGTAACTTATATCAAGCAACTTATGCAGCTGCAAATTTAAAGACTCAAAAAAAATTCTGAGTAAGTAAATATTCCAAATAAAAGTCCTTAACTAGCCTTTAACTAAAGCAAACACATTAATATAGATAAGTTATAGTGCTTGGGAACGAGGTTATNGAAAGGAATGCCAATGTCAATAAAAGTGTAGTAAATAATGAAGGGAGTATCAACAGTTTGGGCATGGATTGCAGTGTCTATGACTATATTATGTATCATGCTTATCGTTTTTTCACAGGTTAAGTAAAACCATTCTAGAGTGATTTTACTTCATGACCCGAGAAACGAAGTTGTATAATAGACCCTTTGCATGTGATGCCAAAGGAGATCAATTTGAAGAACAAAACAATATAATTTTAATCTCCTGAGAATATTGGAACCAAGGGGATTAGTGAGCCAAAGTAAAACAGAATTGAATTAGTGTGTATCAAATTGAGCTAATCCTTGCAGTAACTTATATCAAGCAACTTATGCAGCTGCAAATTTAAAGACTCAAAAAAAATTCTGAGTAAGTAAATATTCCAAATAAAAGTCCTTAACTAGCCTTTAACTAAAGCAAACACATTAATATAGATAAGTTATAGTGCTTGGGAACGAGGTTATCCTGGGCGGAAGCCCTTGGAATAAAATTCGGAAAAAATTAATTTCCGACCTTGCTGGGAATCGAACCCACGACCTTCGGAATTGTACTACCGATGCTCTACCAGCTGAGCTAGAGGTCAGACTGAGAGCAGGTCGGGGTGAAATAGATGGTAGGTAGCGGTAAATATGATGCAAATATGAGAATATGTGGACCGCATGGCACTAATGAAATACATGAAGATATAGAAATATAGATAAGTTATAGTGCTTGGGAACGAGGTTATTCTGGGCGGAAGCCCTTGGAATTAAATTTATTCCAAGGGCTTCCGCCCGGAATAACCTCGTTCCCAAGCACTATAACTTATCTATATTTCTGTATCTTCATATAAACACATTAATAAATTAGTATTATATTGGCATTTGAGTACAAACACTAAAAGTGTGCAACATTTTCCACTATTTAGTAGTAAATAGTGCTAATTAAACAATAGAAAACGATAGTATTAGCATAATTTAGCAGTATTTAGTGGTATTTATGTTGTACACTTATAGTGTTTGTACTCTAGCTATTCATACGGTAGTATTCTATACCCGACACTAAAACATGTTCTCATTGGTTGCCGAAACATTAGAAGTCAGTCAACTGGAACGCACATGTTTCAACTCGGTGTTTACCACTTGGAAGTTCATTACGAACTTGTTTTGATATTGTGGAAAGAGACAACACTCCACAGTTTCCAAACGTATTCAAATCTGCCTGTAATTCTTTCAGAAACGTTGATCCCTTGTTTAACACCATCGTTTCCAGTAAAATTGAATCGTCGTCAAATGTTAATTTTTTCAAAGTTCTGATGTGATCTTTTGAAGCATGCTCAACGGTTCCTTGCTGTTGATATCGTTTAACACTTCTTGAAACTGTTGAAGGATCTATCCTTAACCTTCGTCCAATATCTCTAATTGATGCATTCCCTGCAAGTTCAACTATTTGGTTCCTTAAATCCTGAGAGAGACTTTCCCCYTTTTTATAGCAGCGTCCAAATTGGTTGACAGAGAACATTGTTTACAGCGCGAATTCCAAGTGCCGTTGATCGAAGCGCGCCAAAACATGCGCGTTACAGCTAGTTACTGACTTCTAATGTGAGAACATGTGTCGGGTGTTGACGTTTAGGTGAAAACGACGGTAAGTAGGTTATCTACTCAAATTCAAATTTCGAGTAGTCGTCTAGTAGTCGTACCACGATAGCATAAAATAAACTATAATAAATATTTATGTGCACATGCTGATGATACATCGTTTTATCATCGTGACTAAAAAGTGAGACCACCCAAGCGAATTCGCTTCATGGTCTAGTAGTTAGGTTAGGGTTTGGGTTAGGGTTGGTGCCCAGTTCAATTCTTGGTGTTTTCACTTAATTTTTTTCTAAGTGAAGAGAACCAAAAAATTTCTAAGTCCCACTAGTGTGTTCGGAAACCTATGAACTACTTCGTTAACCCGTACACGATAAWAGTACCATTAAGTAAACGAAGTCACAGATCTCTCACCTTGTACCAACTTTATTCGATGCCCCAGTATCAAAAGGAATCCCTACGAAACAGGCATCTAGTCCCTCACACGTTTTTTCGTGCGGCAGTCTCATCATGGTAGCTATTCCACCAGCCCGTGGCATCTCGTCTGGAGTAAGTGGAAAGTTGAATTTCTTTGTCACTGGAGAACTCACTGAAATCCTTCGACAAAGATGCTTTGAAAATACAAATGATCTACTAATTGAGATAATCTTGTTCATATTCTTTGCCAACGCTAAGGAAGCCATGTTTTTTCTTTGTTTTTTAAATGGTCGTCTCGTCTAGTGTTGCGTGACGCGACGGACGTCAAAATCACATTTAATCCTAAGACAATCTCGTACMCAGAGCMTGCGTTTCTTCTGGCCTGCGGCGAAGAACGAGGGCTCTGGCATAATCCATTTTTTTGAGACCAGKATTTCTTGGACTTCCGGTATAACAGCGCATGCGTTCAAATACTTGCCAAAAATTAAAAATATTTTYYCCCCCAAYTTTTAATTCGTGCTATAATTTTTAATTTGATTTTGAGTTCGATTTAATTTTTACTTCGCTTATTTTGATCGTTTATATCTCACTTTYCGAAAAYTGCGCATGCGCCAAAATATGGATTATAYCAGAGCCCTAGTTCTTCGCCGCAGGCYAGAAGAAACGAAGGCTCTGGGTACGAGATTGATCCTAAGACTCCTCTGCGCAGCCGCTTTGAGGCGCTTCCGGTTGTAGTACACTTCACTGGTTACTAGGCCCAGTCCAGTTTCTCGTGTTTATTTCGCTRCACAAAAAAGATTGGCTGGAACTGAAGATAACGGAAATAAATCAATCAATTATTCTTRATCAAATTTTAATTCATAAGATATGCAACATATAAAAAAATTAGAGACCTAGGACYGTCCATAACTAAAATGGAAACTAAAATGGAWTRTTTTTTCTGCGGTCTCAYAGTTAAGGTAGTTCCGGACCCTTGTTACTGCGCATCCATTTCGCGCATCTCGTTTTTTACCTTTTATTTGCGCTGTTTTGAAAATTGATTTAAATAATGTCAGAAGTTGA